TTACTTATTTTTATATACCCGACGTTTCGGTTGCTTTCCAGCAACCGTGGTCACGGGGGACTGAGGTGATTGACGTCCCGATGTCAAAGTTAACCCGGAGTACCTTCAGCTTTTTAATTATTAATTTTGGTCCGATCTACGCAGAATGAACTAACTGTGTCTTGAAGTCTTACAGTGGTATGCTTGGGTTTAGTTTTAATTTTATGAATTACAGGATCCCAAGCAGGTGGTAGTACCCAGCCTCCCTCTCTATTGAAATTAGGATGTTTTTTAATTTCAATAGCCTCACGTATCATCCTTGGCAGGAATCGATGTTCTTTCGCGAGGACTTGTGGTTTATCAAATCTAATGTAATGACGGGGGCCGTCTAGGATATGATCACAAACTGCAGACTTCCCGGAACGTTGGTGCTTCACGTCAGCTATGTGTTCTTTTACGCGGGTTTTTATTGATCGTTTTGTTTGCCCTATATATGAGAGACCACACTCACAATCAAGCTTGTATACTCCTGCATCTTGTAGAGGAATATTGCACTTGACGGATGGTAAGAACTGACTAATCTTCTTCGGCGGCTTGAAGAATGTTCTAATAGAAGCTCGCTTCAAGATGTAGCCAATCTTGTCTGTGACACCTCTGACATATGGTAGTACAGCAGGCACACGCTCGACTGTGGCCGGCTTCACTCGGTCACTGTGACGTAGGCGCGGAACCCGAAGCTTGTTGTCGTGCAGAACCTGCTTGACGTGCTGAAGCTCGGCGGCCAGGTGTTTGCTGTCACAGATCCCTCGTGCTCTCTGCAACAAAGATTTGCCCACGGTAGCTAACTGTGAAGGATGATGGTGGGATTCACCGTTTAAGTATCGGTTTGTATGGGTCTTTTTTCTATACACAGTGTGACCTACGGTGTTATTAGGATTTCGAATGACTAACACATCTAGGAAAGCTAAAGAATTATTTGCCTCTAACTCCATAGTAAATTGAATTTTAGAGTTTATGGAATTAAGATGTTCTAAAAATGCAGTTACTTTGTCTGATGGTAAAATTGTGAAAGTATCGTCTACGTACCGCTTGTAGAAACTTGGAGTTACTGGTGCAGTAAGCAGGGCTTTCTCCTCAAAATCCTCCATGAAAATATCGGCGACAATGGGAGATACCGGTGAGCCCATCGCAACACCATCTACTTGCTTGTAAAACTGTTCCTTCCACAATAGGTAGCCAGATGTAAGGCAATGTCTGAGTAATACTGCATATTCTGCTGGCATGTTGTTTTCCTCTAGTTTCCTAGTTATAATTGAGATGCAGTCTTCAACAGGTAGGCATGTAAATAGAGTAGACGGTACGGTACGTAGACGATACTTTCACAATTTTACCATCAGACAAAGTAACTGCATTTTTAGAACATCTTAATTCCATAAACTCTAAAATTCAATTTACTATGGAGTTAGAGGCAAATAATTCTTTAGCTTTCCTAGATGTGTTAGTCATTCGAAATCCTAATAACACCGTAGGTCACACTGTGTATAGAAAAAAGACCCATACAAACCGATACTTAAACGGTGAATCCCACCATCATCCTTCACAGTTAGCTACCGTGGGCAAATCTTTGTTGCAGAGAGCACGAGGGATCTGTGACAGCAAACACCTGGCCGCCGAGCTTCAGCACGTCAAGCAGGTTCTGCACGACAACAAGCTTCGGGTTCCGCGCCTACGTCACAGTGACCGAGTGAAGCCGGCCACAGTCGAGCGTGTGCCTGCTGTACTACCATATGTCAGAGGTGTCACAGACAAGATTGGCTACATCTTGAAGCGAGCTTCTATTAGAACATTCTTCAAGCCGCCGAAGAAGATTAGTCAGTTCTTACCATCCGTCAAGTGCAATATTCCTCTACAAGATGCAGGAGTATACAAGCTTGATTGTGAGTGTGGTCTCTCATATATAGGGCAAACAAAACGATCAATAAAAACCCGCGTAAAAGAACACATAGCTGACGTGAAGCACCAACGTTCCGGGAAGTCTGCAGTTTGTGATCATATCCTAGACGGCCCCCGTCATTACATTAGATTTGATAAACCACAAGTCCTCGCGAAAGAACATCGATTCCTGCCAAGGATGATACGTGAGGCTATTGAAATTAAAAAACATCCTAATTTCAATAGAGAGGGAGGCTGGGTACTACCACCTGCTTGGGATCCTGTAATTCATAAAATTAAAACTAAACCCAAGCATACCACTGTAAGACTTCAAGACACAGTTAGTTCATTCTGCGTAGATCGGACCAAAATTAATAATTAAAAAGCTGAAGGTACTCCGGGTTAACTTTGACATCGGGACGTCAATCACCTCAGTCCCCCGTGACCACGGTTGCTGGAAAGCAACCGAAACGTCGGGTATATAAAAATAAGTAAATTAAACGCGATAAAATCCGTAAAAATAGTTTTATTCAATGTGTAGTGTTCGCGTAAATATAAGAAATCATTAACATTGTAAATATTGAGAGTGTGTCGACGAGGGTTGCGTACCTTATACTCAAAATCACCAAACGGTATTCGCTGAAGGTCGTACAGGCTTACGCACCAACCTCGGCACACCTCGATGAGGAGGTGGATTCTTCCAAAACCCAATATACGGTGTTAATGGGAGACTTCAATGCAAAACTAGGCACAAGAGAGAACGGTGACCAGAAAGTAGGGAAATTTGGAATAAAGCAACGGAACCCAAGGGGCCAGCAGCTAGCCGACTTCATGGAGAAAGAAAGACTCCCACAGGAAGTGGACCTGTTCGAGCCCCGATGGTTCCACAAAAAATGAGATTCATTATGACGACCAGACGACAACTGTTCAGTGATGTCTCCGTGATCGCGAGGGTGAAAACTGGTAGCGATCACCGAATGGTTAGAGGCACACTGAACCTAAACGTTAAGTTGGAGAGGTCACGTCTAATGAAGTCAACGCTCCGTCCTCCTCATGCTCTGTTCTAGAGTCCCGAAACCTTTCAGCTCGAGTTACAAAACCGTTTTCAGTGCCTAGAAGACTGCAATAAAGAGGATGATATGAATGACAAGCTCGTGGAAACTGTCCATGCGGTCGGAGCTAAGTTCTGCAAGACCCACCGCAGAAGAACACAAAAACTCTCCGATCACACTCTCAATCTCATGGCTGTTAGACGGGAGATGAAGCTACATTCTTCAACAGATTTGACAGCATACAGGCAACTGAATAGACAGATCTCCAAATGCATGCGGCGGGACTTACGCAACTTCACTACAGCTCGTATTGAAGAAGCGATCGAGCGGAACCAAGGCTCCAAAGTCTTTGCCAGAGATCTGTCTGCCAGAAAAAGCCAACTGTCAAACCTGAAGACCGAATGTGGCAGCATCGTTTCCGGGACACCTGAGATTTTGAGTGAGATTGAGAGGTTCTATGGGCAACTGTACACGTCATCGTTGGAGCCACACGCAAGTGTGAGTAACGTTCCAAGAGCGAGTCTTATCCGACACTATTCCGAAGATATCCTGGACGTCAGTCCGAGCGAGATTACCTATGCTACCGTTACTTTCCAAATAGTAATTGGTGATGACATTAACGTTCACAAAACTACTGTTTACAGAGTGGTATATAAAGTAAGCAAGGAAATAGCAAAGCTAGCTAGGAGTTACATAAATATGCCAAACGTTGTAGACCTGAGAGAAGTAAAGGCACAATTTTTTTAATATCGCAAGATTTCCAAATGTAATTGTTTGTGTAGATGGATAGCACATACCTATTCAATCTCCTGGAGGTGAGCATGCAGAACTATTTAGAAATAGAAAAGGTTTCTTTTCTATTAATGTACAAGTTGTATGTGATGCAAAGTTACAAATTCGTGACATAGATGCCCGCTGGCATGGATCAACACATGACAGTACAGTGTATCATAACTTATTCCTCCGAGCACGCCTGAATAACAATGAGATAGATGGTCACCTCCTTGGAGACAGTGCATATCCTTGTGGAAAGTACATGATGACACCGTTTTTAAACCCAGCTACAAATGCAGAAAAACTCTACAGTGAAGCAAAAATTAAGACCAGAAACACAGTTGAAAGGACATTTGGTGTGTGGAAAAGAAGATTTCCATACCTTTCTCAAAAAATTAAGGCTAAAATTAGATCACACATTAGCTATGATTGTTGCAACAGCTGTGTTACATAATATAGCTCTACAGCAAAATGATACTGTGGCGATTGATTCTGCTCCAGAAGAAAATATTATTTTTTTTTTTTTTTATAGGATAAGGGTGACAAACGAGCACACAGTCCACCTGATGGTAAGCGGTTGCTGCGGCCCATAGACATCTACATCTATCCTCTATTAGAAATCAAAATGTAGATGCGTTGTCACCCGTGAGGACTAAGATGTAATGCCTCATTTCCAGTAAAAAGGGCCTCCGGCCACCTGCACTCACCAAGCGAAACGCAGAGGTAAACCTCTACATCACGCTGGTTTTCTGTGAGGTCGTGGTACCACCCCGGTTCGAGCCGGCCCATCCGTGCGACAGCAAAAGCTGCCGCGTGGCTCTACCACTCTTAAAAGAATTATTACAGAATTGATTGAACAACCTCTTTCCTGTGAAGGAAACCATTTTCGTCGGTTATTGTTGGAGCAATATTTTAGGTGGGTAAAGTTTATCTATTGTTAATATTTCTTAAGTGTAACAGTCAGTACAAATAAAAGAAGGTAGAACTAAACGCACTAATTTTATTTTATACTTGAATAACAATCTCGGCAGAGTTTCGTTTTATTACGAGCGGTAGTGTGATCACTTTCTAAAAATGGAGCTTGTAAGACACTATATAGCACTACCCCACACCAGAGACATCCGGTGGTTAGAGTGGTGGCTTCCGCTTGGCTTGGCTAGGATTGGCTGGCTTGAATGGTCCGCTGTGATTGGCTGTGGCGGTGTGGCGTAACATTCGGCCGTCCTGAAACAACAATTGCTCCCGCAATGGGAGAAAGCTTGGTTAACTTTCTAGCAGGTCAATAAGGTCTTCGGTTTCCAGTTGTTCATCAGAACTGCTGGCACTGTCAGATATGGGAACCGTACTGTGATAGGGCCTCAAGGAGTCCGCTGCAACAAGGCCTGTGAAGGCCCTGTAGCCTCGGAGACCCTTAATACTTCTGATCCTATATCTGTCATTACCCAACACCTTGATTACGATATATGGACCCGAGAAGACGTCGTCAAGTTTAGTGTTTACCTTCGACGTACTGCTTGTTGGTGCTTGCCGCCAAAGAACTAAATCCCCCTTTTTATAGACACGGCTTGTTTTGCGTTTCTTGTCAAAGTTACGTTTCATCCTATCACTCGCTAGTTTTAACTGTTTACTAGCTTTGTTACGCCTAACGTCCACTGGCTCACTAACACTTCCATTGCCAACGATGTCACAACGTGGCCTGGAGCTTTTGGAAAACATCAAATCATAAGGTCTGTAGGTTGTACTTTCATTCGCGGTATTATTAATACCCCATAGAATATCAGGTAAGCTGTTCGCCCAGTTATTTGCAGCCTCGCTAGCATCTGTGGCACGCAAGGCATTCAATATGGTACGGTTAGTGCGTTCCACTTGACCATTCGCTCGCGGGCATGCAACGGAGGTTAAGATATGCCTAAACTGTTTATCAGATGAGAACTTTTTGAAGTATCTACTGGTAAAAGCCTTCCCGTGGTCACTTACAAGTTTATCGGGGTATCCGAATAAGCTGAATATTTTTCTGAGTGTTCTAATGGTTTCCACCGAATTGACTGTTCGAGTTGGCTCAGCAATAACAAATTTAGAAAAGGAATCTGTTATAACCAGCATATACTGATAGCCTTTAGCTGTCTTGCAAAAGGGGCCCAAGTGGTTGACATGAATCATGATCATGGGCTCTGTGGGTTTGGGAATAGGGAACAATTTTCCTTCCTTTTTACCATGACCACTCTTACCATAAGCACAATGAAGGCAAGCAGTAACATACTTTCGAATAAAGCGAGTCATTTTTGGAAACCAGTAGTCTTTTTTTATTAAGTCTATACACTTTTGGAAACCCACATGTCCTATGTCATCATGGTGCATTTGGACTAGCCTCCATCGAGCTAATGCTGGCACTACGAGACGATTACCATGCAATGTCTTTTTATACAATCTATCATCTGAGAATACATAACTATTGGATATTTCAGTGGCGGCTGAGCCATCCCTAAGCTGATCAATGATTCGCTTCAACTTGTCATCCTGATACTGGACGGTATAAAACCAGTCCGACACTTCAAGGCGATTCACATTCACAGTATCGATTGGGTTCCTATTTAACGCGTCTACATGTTTCATTCACTCTCCGGGTCTATATTCTACACTCATATCAAAATCTTGGATTGACAGCCACCACCTGGCTATACGCGGGATAATGTCACGTTTAGTTAAGGTGGCACGAACAGCCGTACAGTCAGTCACGATCTTAACATGTTTGCCTATGATGTACACCCTAAATCTACGCAACGATTCGACTACCGCGAGAGTTTCGAGCTCGTAGCTATGATACATGCTTTCTTCCTTACTCGTTACTCTACTGAAATACATAACGGGGCGTAATGAATTATCAGTTTGTTTTTGCAACAAAATGCCTGCGATACCTGATTTGCATGCATCCGTGTGAATCTCCGTCGGTAATGCGGGGTCGTATAAAGCTAGTATGGGTTTTGTACACAAACACTGTTTTAATTGTTCAAAACTATTAGATTATTCACGGCCCCAATTCCAAGCCGCGTTTTTCTTTGTTAAATCGGTCAATGGGCGGGCAATTATTGCGAAATTTTTAATAAATTTACGGAAATAACTACATAAGCCAATAAATTGACGTATCTCGTGAACGTTACTAGGAGTGGGAAACTGTGACACTGCTGCCAACTTAGATTCACCCGGTTGAATGCCACTCGGTGTAATTTCATGTCCTAAGTACGTGATTTTATTTTGTAAAAAGGAACACTTACTCATGTTTAGTTTTAAATTTTCTAATCTTAATTTATGAAGTACCTTCTCTAAAATATCTAAGCCCGACTGCACATCGAAAGATGGCAACAACAAATCATCTAAAAACGCTAACACTTCATAGTTGTTCGAAAAATTATTGCAAGTTTTCGTACTACCGTCTTTTGAAAAGTTATTGGAATTTCGTAATGAATCTACGATTTTGTTTATAAGTCGCATAAAAACTGATGGTGCATTAGCCAGGCCAAATGGGACACGCGTATATTCAAAGTGCCCCTGTGGTGTGATAAAAGCGGTTTTGTGTATGTCTTCCGGATCAATTTTAACCTGATGGTAACTTTGTGCTAAATCAAGACTTGTGAAGAAATTCTTGCCGGCTAACTTTGAAACCTGATCATCGATATTGAGCAACGGATACCTATCTTTGACTGTAATAGCATTAAGTGCTCGATAGTCAACACAGAGTCTACTATCGCCGTTCTTTTTCTTTACAATGATAACTGGAGAAGCAAAACATGACTCGGACTCTCGGATTATACCTGCGTCTAATAATTCAGAGACTTTAGACCTAACTATCTCCTGCTCACTATGTGACAAGCGGTAGAGTTGGCGGTATATAGGTTGTTCAGTTGTCAATTTTATTTTCATCTATACATATAATAAAACTGTAAATAGCAGATGTCTGTACATTTTATATTTTTGTAATAAAAGTGATTGAGGGGTACTAAAAATAAGTAATTAAATACATTTCTACCATTTTTAGAATTTTCTGTCTGTCTGTCTGTCTGTCTGTCTGTCTGTTTGTTTGTTAACGTATCACGTATAAAGTACTAATTTATATCATAAGAATTGTTAAGGAAATTATAAAGTGTATCTTCGGGTTACATTTTAGTCTTTATTTCATTAAAATCAGTTCATTCCATCAAAAGTTATGATAAATATTCTGAAGTATGGGTAGGGAAGTATAGGTACAAATTTGCTCAACGGTGGCTTTGTTTGAGTCATCAGGTGCATTTTAAACTAATATCATATCATAAATCATAGTTAAATTATGTAAAATAATGATATAATTATGTATATCTAAAACGCAGTAAACAAAAGTATTAAAAAACGTATTAAATAAATTATACAAAAATATATTAACCTTATTAACTAAATCTGAAGCACAATAGTTTTCCCATTTCTTCGATAGATGGTGGTGTTGTGAAAATGTAATGCAATTGCAATGTTTTTTTTTCCTGTAGATGAGTTTTCATATTTACTGCTAATCTTTATTATATTACTCGCTGCCCTACTGCGTGTTGATAAACTCAATTTATTCTTTACCGCCGAGTACTCTATGTGGTAAATCAAATTTTAAAAGAGCTATTAACAAATCGTTGGTTTTGGCGAGAGTCAAACTTTATTTTTTGCTTACTGTGCAGGCACTGATTTATAAATACTCTTGCGTTTTATATAATGTATCAATCGCGTCAATTAATCTCTTTTATTTTTAGAATTGATGTTAGCAGCGCCATCTCTCTTTAAATATATACATATAATAAAAATGATGATAACATATTGTGTTTCTTTCTGTACATTGTATAGGTATATATTTTGGTGGTTAAAATCATTATGGGGAACTGAAAATAATTAAATAAGAACATTTTATAATTTTTAGAATTGTCTGTCTATTTGTCTGTTATTATATGAACGCATCACGTCTAAAGTAAACATCTTTTATTTTCAAAGAAATCGTTAAGAAAATCATAAAGCGTATCTTCGAGTTACATTTAATCTTTGTTTTATTAAAATTGGTTAATTCTATCGAAAGTAATGATTATTATTTTGAAATTTAGGTTCGAATTTGTTCAATGGCGCCATAAAATCTCAGAAATAGTAATAAAAAGATTTGTGTGTAAAAAAAACGTTCCATAATAATTAATATATTTATACTTAGAACACAAAAAGAGATTTAAAAAGGATGTTTTCTCACACAAAGGACGTAATAGATGGAGTTGTACAAATAACAAACTTTTCTGAATTGCTGTGTTGAGATTTTTCGCCGATGAATCGTATTGAGACTTACTGAAGAAATTTATATTCATCGAAGCCATACAACGGAATCCGACCAAAAATAAAAATTTTGCAACGAAATGTCGTGATATTGTATTTATAATATACGCAAAATCAGTACAGCCACTTTAGCGCTTTGGGAACTAGATTTAGCGCTTTTTTGGAATGTATAGCGCGCATTTCGAAATTTTAGCCCTAGCTTAATCCAGCGCTTTTTGGTGTATTTAGCACACATTTCAATATTTTAGCGACTAGCGGGTTATTAACTCTTTTATAGCAGCACTGTTAGTCCACATTACCGATAATAATAATAATGACCTTTATTATTTTTTCCCACAAATAGTACATTGCAGTTTATCTTTTTCAAACATATTTTTTCCACAAAACAAAGAGCATGGGAGACGAGTCCAAACTAGGATACCCTGTGCTATGGATCTCCTGGCTTCCCCTTTAGGATGATCAACTTGATTTTTTTACCGACGACTATAAGCGGGGAAACCCCTTTATTAAAGTTTTTGTTCATGGTTTTGGCAACGCATTTATTTTGCTTTATTCAGTTTCAGTCCGTTGCTTAGAGCACAGATAAGTTAAAAGTTACTTAGAAGTTATAACACAAAGAAACTGTGTAGCAACCGCAATCAGATGCTGACATCTGAAACTAAGTTGCGAAATACATTGCACTTTAAAACAATTAATGACATTTTATTGTTCGTACAGTACTAACTACTGTTGACAGCAATTGCCATAATTATAAGTCGATGTCCTGCGAAGTATTGATACATCAAAAAAATATTGCCAGAAAAAAAAACTTAATGTTGTTTTCTTTATTATGATTGTTATGTATGCGGACAGGGAGCGAGTTAAACGGCCGGTAGCTTGCTATGCACTGGTTTATTAACAGAGGGTGCGTGGGCACAGCCACGCATTGTAATAGATAGATATACAAATGTATATACATACATAACAATTCCCCACCCTATTTTAGAATACAAGAATAAAATAAATTATAATAAAGAAGACAACTATAACCTAAAAGAAACGCTTATAATCAACCTTGGGACGGGGGCGCAGTCTATTTCTAGTGGCTTCGATTCGACCACCATTAAAATCTGCTTCTGCTTCGTGGAACTCGTCGTCCTCCTCCAACCGAGGCGGCACAGGGTTCTCTGCTTCATCACTTTCCCCTCGACGTGGCGAACCTTCTCGCTCTGCCGTGGTAACTAGGCTGGGATCTATGGTAGACGCCGGATGAAGTGGTGACGATGATGATGATGATGGTGATGGTGATGCCGGCAGTGATGGCGGTGGTGTAAAAGTGTTTCCGGTGTCGCAAGTGTTCCCTTTCTCGTAAGCGTCCACGTCCCATGCGTTATAGTCATTACTTTGAGCTTTATATAAAATTAATTGATTTTTATGTTTTCGATAACATATTTGCGTGTCCCAATCTTTTACTAAGTAGATAACTTTGCCAATTCTTTTTGTTATCGTTCCCTTACACCAGGTAAACTTGTTATTTACATATTTTTTATATAAAACGAAAGTTCCAGGTAGCATTTGCTTAATACGTACTGGTTCTTCCTTCTGTGGACATTTTTGCGCATTTATCAAATCGGATGAAGCCGCAGACGCAGACAGCGATGACGTAGGTACCAATCTGTCTAAGCGCGAGTTTAGCTTTCGCCCGAAAATCAACTCGGCGGGTGACATGCCGGTGGTCGAGTGCTTTGAATTCCGGTAATCAAACAAAAACTTTAATAAATTATTTTTTGATTGTTTTGTGTTGCTGCTAGACATAATACTTGATTTTATACCCTTTTTGACTATTTTTACATAACTTTCGGCTTGACCGTTACTTGCCGGGTGATACGGTGGCGACGTAACGTGTGATATCCCGTTTACTTCACAGAAACGTTTAAATTCTTGTGAAGTAAACGCCGTTCCATTGTCGCTTACAATCGTTTGCGGTATGCCGAACCTAGACATGAATTCGTACATCTTTTCAATGACTGTATCGGAGGAAGTAGAACTAGCTGTATCGTATATCTCCGGCCATTTAGAGTACGAATCAATGACCACTAAATACATTCGACCGGCTATGGGACCCAGGAAATCCATATGTACGCGGGTGAAAGGGTGGTGTGTCCGAGGCCAGGGGGCCGGCGGCACGCGCGGTGGAGATGGCCGCAGGTTGATGCATACCTCACATGTCCCTATCATATGCTCCACGGCCTCATCTACGCCCGGAAACCAAAATCTGGATCGAACTTCGGCCTTGGTTTTTACGATACCCAGATGTGTTTTGTGTAACTCGGCTAACACCCTTTTACGCAACGTCTCGGGAATCACGATCTTATGACCTCTCATTAAGCATCCATTTTCAACCGAGAATTGCGTTCTACATGAAAAATAAGGCTTAAGGTACAAATCACTTATTTTCTTAGGCCAACCGTGTTTAACATATTCGGTTACTTTAGATAAAATTTTGTCCCTTTTTGTTTCATCCCGTAGTTCCGAAACCGTAATCGGTAAACTCGTGTCGACCACAAAACACACGTAAGGCGCGCGGTCGCTCGAAGTGAAGTCGTCCGCAGTGCACGTATCGAGTGCGCCTGCACCCGTGTCGGGCGCGCGCCTCGCCTCCGAAATACTTGAGCGAGACAAATAGTCGACGCTGTTATCAGCGCTTCGTATATACTCGATCGTATAGTTATACGCGCTTAAAAACATTGCGTACCTCTGCAGTCGATTCGCCGATACTTCCGGAATGCCTTTGTACGGTCCGAATATCGAAATTAGTGGCTTATGATCTGTTCTTAATACAAACGGATTTGTTCTACCGTACAAATACTGATGGAAGCGCCGAATTCCAAATATAATTGCGGTCGCTTCTTTCTGTATTTGTGAATATCGTTTTTCTGCGATATTTAGAGTTCGCGATGCAAACGAAATCGGTCTTTCTTGCCCGTCGGAACCTACTTGCGACAGTATCGCACCCAAGCCAACCGGAGACGCGTCTACAGTCAGGATTAGCCTTGCTTCGGGGTTGAAGTGGGCTGGTCTGAAGCTAATAACAGTTTTATTTTTGTGAATGCCTCATGATGATCTAGACCCCACGACCATTTTACCCCCTTTTTTAGCAGATTATAAAGTGGGCTTAAAACAGACGCTGCACTTGGTACAAAGTTTCGATAATAATTTACTAGGCCCAAAAACGATTGCAGTTGGCTTATATTTGATGGTGCAGGGGAGTCTACTATTGCTTTAATTTTATCTGGAGACTTTTTCAACCCATTTTTATTGATAACATAACCCAAGTAGTTAACCTCATCTTTATAGAACTCGCACTTCTCCCTTTGCAAGGTCAATCCTGCTTCTTGTAAGGTCTGCAACACCGCCCGGAGGCGTGCAGCGTGCTCGGCGTCGTCACGCCCCGTAATGAGCACGTCATCCAACAAACACAGCACGCCCTCCTGTCCACCAATTAGGCCCTCCATCGCACGCTGAAAAATTGCTGGCGCTGGAGCAAGCCCAAAGACTAGCCTAGTATACTTGTATAATCCACGATGAGTATTAATTACAGTGTACCTTTGTGACTCGTCATCCAGCTCAAATTGGTTATAAGCCATAGATAAGTCTAATTTGGTGAAATTTTTTCCACCGTAAAGCTTTGCAAACAATTCCTTGGCAGTTGGCAGAGGATACTGGTCGATAATTAATTGCCTATTAATACTAACCGAGTAATCGGCACACAAGCGAATAGTGCCATTTCTTTTTAAAACAGGGACTATAGGGGACGCATAGTCTGCGTGGTCAACCGGTTTTAATACCCCTAACTCAACCATTCTATCTAGTTCATTATTTATTTTATTCCGTAGGGCAAATGCAATCGGTCTCGCTTTAAAGAAAACTGGTTTTGCATTATCTTTTAACTGTAAGTGCACCTTATGTTTAGTAAAACGACCTAATTTATCCGAAAAAAGAACTGGAAATTGACATTGCAGTTCTTCCACGGAGGGAAGGGTACCCTGACAGTAATTCACCGTTGATAAAACTGACGATAACTCTAATTGGAATGTAGATATAAAGTCCCTACCGAGGAGCGGCGGCCCGCCGTCCCGGACGACGTACACGTCGAGCGTGTGTGAGCGGTTAGTATAGTACACGGGTAACCGGATTGTGCCTACACATGTTATGCTATCACCCGTGTAGCTCATCAACCTTTTATGCGGAACAATCAATGGAATATCTTTAAAATGAGATTTGTATAATTTTTCCGGTATCACCGTTACGGCGGAACCGCTATCTATTTCAAACTTAAACGCCATTCCCTGAATAAACACGGTCTCGACCATCGGTTCACCCCGCAACGAACGAATTTTAAATACCTTACCATCATCATCGATGTTTTCGTCTCCGGCTCCATTATCTACGTAGTTAACTTTATTTGACGTACACATTCTACGTAGATGGCCTACGACGTTACACTCCCTACATACGAAATCCGCATACCGGCACTCCGAAGCCTTGTGGTTCGTATAGCCACACACTTTACACTTTTGTTTTACCGGAAGATCACTTTTTACACTTCTTGCACCTTTACCTCTTGATCTAATCTTGTACAACGCGCTGGTAGAAGCTGCGGACGCGTCGGCTGTACTGGCACTGGCGATTGCAGCTGATTTCGCACAACGGACGTTTTCAGCAAATTCTACAGCTTTCGTGAGAGTTAGATTTGTAATATCTTGGGCGTAAAGTTTCTCTTTCTCAAGACTAGGCATCATTCCCATAATAAACCGGTCTCGTAGGGCCTCTTCGATATCATGGAAAGCGCAGCGTGACGTAAGACCGCGCAGTCTCGCGGCCCACTGTGAATGTGTTTCACCGGGTTGCTGCGATGCTGCATAGAAGTTGTGTCGTTCCGTGAAACCGACAATCTTCGGGTTAAAATGGATGTCGAAGAATCGTAGGATGTCTTCGTAGGGCACCTCCTGCACATCCTTGGGTAAGGCTAAATTCTCAGCGAGCCTATAGGTACCCTCCGAGAGTGCACTTAGCAAAATTGCTCTTCTCTTTTTCCCGCTCGGATCCGTCGTGTTATTAATTTCATTTGCCAAGAACCACTGATTTATTCGGCTTTTATAAGTTTTCCACTCCTGTATATCGTGGTTAAAACTGGATAATATTCCAAAATATGAATTAGCCATTTTTAATTACTTTTTGCGCGGGTACTCGTCGCCAATGTTATGTATGCGGACAGGGAGCGAGTTAAACGGCCGGTAGCTTGCTATGCACTGGTTTATTAACAGAGGGTGCGTGGGCACAGCCACGCATTGTAATAGATAGATATACAAATGTATATACATACATAACAATGATTATATAAAAAAACACAAACTTTGTTTGTAGTTAATTTAGCGCGAAATCTAGGGCTTTTTTAAAGCGCTGTTTTCATGAAATCTAGCGCTTTTTGTGTTGTCCTAGAGCTGAATTAGTTTTTTTTATCTGGCAGCACTGCCCAAAATCCCTCTATTAAGAAGTAACTTTCCTTTCAGTTTTAAGCGCGTTCAGTTCCCAGTTACAGTGAGCGTGTGTTATGCGATGACCGTAAACAAAGCGCAAGGTCAAACTTTACGCGTTGTAGGAGTGTACCTCAGTACTAACTGTTTTGCACATGGCCAACTCTATGTTGCTTTTTCCCGCGTTAGTAGCCCCCGTAACCTTTTAGTGTACACCCCGGCTAAGCCTACTTCTCACGTCGTTTACACAGAAGCTCTATCATAAACGACTTAGAACTTTGATGATAATGATTTATTTAGTTACCACTTATTGATACAGTAATGAAATAAATCGTTTAATATTCTCTTACCTAAACGACAAATTGTTTATGTAAAACCTGTATACGCGAGCTACGCCGCGGGCACAGCTAGTTTTTAATAAATCTGTACATCCCAAGTCTTGTGTTTTATTCGCAAAACAGTCACTGTAATTAGTCAATAAAGTAATTAAACTATCATGATCATTTTTATTTAATGGACCCGACTTAATATCTTCTATGTTTATTCCCCCAATAGTGCTAACGTTTGCTAGGCTAGTATGCAACAGAGATGCTATAGAGTTGCTATAATAATCATTATTGGCTTTGGCTACGGAAGTCGATGGCAAAGTGTAATTTTTAGGGCTAACCTGAACTTCTGGTTGCGGTGCGGTGACGCAGCTATCTGCTCTGGTCAGCACCTCGCCTTGCTCCCAGATGATGTTTTGAGCTCCATTGTTGATGACTTTGATGTACCCGACGGTGCCTCGTAGCAGAGTGGCAGGAATTGAGTACGAAACACCTCGTAGCTCATAATGTTGCGGCGTAGTGACGACATCGTTATCTTCGTCATTATCTATCACGTTGACCTTGATGATGGAAAGTCCAGGCAATAGACGCTCTTTCTCTGTAGTGACGACCTTAAAGCGAGCGCGCTCTTCAATCACATCCATTTGCCTTGTAAAGTCGATATCTTGTTTGAGAGTGGCTTTTCCTTCCCTGACCTCTAAGACCATTCCGTCGCTGTTGATGATGGGCTGTCCAACCAAAAGATGGATGTTCCCCATATCCACGTCTGTTAAATGAGCCTTGCACGGGATATGTATACCATCGATTTCTAGTTTAAAACCTACCTCTCCGCAGCTGGGTAGATGTTCTCCAGAGAATCCCTTTAGGATAGTGCTGGTCGGGTTGATTTTGAGATCCAATAGTCTCGACACGTGGGTAGATAATACATTTACTTGGCTGCCGGTATCAATATAAGATTTAACGTGAATGCCATTGATCTTTACCGCTTTTTCGTAAATCTTGTTGTGATTTTGTAAAAGTTTAATTTCTTTAACTTTATCATCAGCCAGTAGCGCAGGTTTCGGAGTGATTCCGCAGCGCGTAGCAATGTGGCCTTGCTTGCCACATTTGAAGCATGTTCGTGAATCTGGATACGGGCAGTTACGTAATATGTGGCCGGTCTTCTTACAGCGCGGACACGGGTCAATGTCAGGGTTAATAGGCGTGTATTTTTTATCAATTACCTGTCGATCGTAAGCGTCTTTACTTTGCACACGTGTTCTAATTGACGTTGACAGCGATTGATAATCATCCAGCGCACAGAGAAAGCCTTCATATAATTCTTCGGGATGCTCGCACTGATATGCTCTCGCATTCGCTTGAAGTGATGATGGTAGACCACGAATGATGCAGGAGACTGTTGCGCTGTCAGACAACTTACACCGGAAGCACATGGCCACTTTGTCTTGGTAGTATTTCGTCATCGATTCCGTTGGTAGTTTCTTTCGGCTCATCATCTCTTCTAACATGTTCCCGAAATCGCGATGTTTGGGAAAAGCACGCGTCAGCATCTGCTTCCATTCTTGCCAGGAATAATCGTAGTCATCAAGCCAATTGTACCATCGTCTGGCTTGACCTCTTAGTCTATGCTGTAAGTAAAACGACTTTGTAGTTTCGCTCCAGCCATGAATTTCGCCTAGTTGATCTATTTTCTTGAGCCACGCTGTTGCGGTACTACATTCTTCATTATCGGGGTCGAATTCTGGAATAAGTGAGGCTGCACGGTGTTCTTTTCTTGTCGTTACGGAGGGTAATTCTTCGTCTAGCTCTTGCATTGCCTTTTGTACTTCGGTTTCCAATAGTCTTCTAAGGATTTTCCGGGCCGGAGGAGTGTCTGGTGGTGTGACCTCGTCTTCAGTGTCGCTTTTTTCAGATGAATCTTTACATGGTGATTCGCTCGACTCTTGAGGGCGGACTTTATTGCCTTTTCTTGGCATTCCGACGCGATGACGCTTCATAGTTTTCACTTTTGATCCCACTTCTGAGATGTAACAGTCAGTACAAATAAAAGAAGGTAGAACTAAACGCACTAATTTTATTTTATACTTGAATAACAATCTCGGCAGAGTTTCGTTTTATTACTAGCGGTAGTGTGATCACTTTCTAAAAATGGAGCTTGTAAGACACTATATAGACACTACCCCACACCAGAGACATCCGGTGGTTAGAGTGGTGGCTTCCGCTTGGCTTGGCTAGGATTGGCTGGCTTGAATGGTGCGCTGTAATTGGCTGTGGCGGTGTGGCGTAACATAAGCTAAATTTACACAATGTTGAATGTAATAAGGCCACGGAAAATAGAGTTTCATCAAAAGTTGCCTGGAAGAAAGCCTTGATTGTAATAAGGCTGTCAATGGTTATTGTTTGCAATCATCATCATCATCATCATTACAGCCCTTCACAAGTCCACTGCTGAACATAGGCCTCCCCCAAAGAATGCCACAAAACACGGTCCTGAGCCACCTGCATCCATCGACTTCCTGCATGTCTTACCAGGTCGTCACTCCATCTCGTGGGGGGACGCCCTACACTTCGCCTACCGGTACGAGGCTGCCACTCGAGAACCTTTCTTCCCCATCGGTTGTCGGTTCTTCGAGCTATATGGCCGGCCCACTGCCACTTCAGCTTACTAATCCGTTGGGCTATGTCGGTCACTCTGGTTCTACTGCGGATATCCTCATTCCTAAGTTTATCACGCAGAGAAACTCCGAGCATAGCCCTCTCCACAGCTCGCTGAGCGACCTTGAGCTTCCTCATACGGCCAGCAGTGAAGGACCACGTCTCAGTTCCGTAAGTCATCACTGGCAACACGCACTGGTTGTACAATTTCGTTTTAAGGTTTTGAGGTATATCTGACGAGAAGATGTGTCGTAGCTTCCCGAACGCTGCCCAGCCGAGTTGAATCCGTCGATTGACCTCTCGGTCGAAGTTGGACTTACCCAGTCGGACTATTTGTCCCAGGTAAACATACTCGTCAACAACTTCGAGCTTAGTGTTCCCAACAACTACCGGCATAGGTGTGACATGGACATTAAACATGATCTTAGTTTTGTCCATGTTCATCTTAAGACCTATCCGTTGGGAAACACTATTGAGGTCATTGAGCATAGTGCTTAGGTCCTCCAGCGATTCTGCCATAAGGACTATATCGTCGGCAAATCGAAGGTGAGTGATGTACTCGCCATTGATGTTGATACCGTATCCTTTCCAGTCCAGAAGCTTGAAAACGTCTTCCAATGCAGCGGTGAAGAGTTTCGGGGATATGACGTCACCCTGTCTTACACCTCTCTGCAATTGGATAGGTTTCGTACTCTGGTTCTGTACTCGGATAGCCATCGTAGCCCTACTGTACAAGCACTTCAACACTTCGATATACCGACAGTCAACTTGGCACCGCTGAAGGGACTGCAGCACCGCCCAAATTTCGACGGAATGAAAGGCTTTCTCATAGTCCACATACGCCAGACATAGTGGCAAATTGTACTCTTCGGACTTCTGTACAACTTGCCGAAGGGTATGTATGTGGTCAATGGTGCTAAAGCCCTTTCGGAAACCGGCTTGTTCGGGAGGCTGGAAGTCGTCAAGTCTGCGCGCGAGACGATTCGTAATGACTCTCGAAAACAGCACGTAGACGCGGCTCAGAAGGGAAATCGGTCTGTAGTTCTTCAAGAGAGCGTTGTCACCTTTCTTGAAGAACAAGACCACCGCACTTCTACTCCACGCCTCCGGTGTAATGCCACCATGGAGGACGGAATTAAAGAGCTTCTGAAGGACTTCAAGTACCGGTCTTCCACCCGCTTTCAGAAGCTCCGCTGTAATTCCATCCTCGCCTGGGGCCTTACCGTTTTTAAGGTGCTGGAGAGCCATCCTAATCTCGCTCAGACTGACATCCGGGATATCTTCGGAATAGTGTCGGATGAGACTCGCTCTTGGATCGTTACTCACACTTGCGTGTGGCTCCAACGATGATGTGTACAGCTGCCCATAGAACCTCTCAATCTCACTCAAAATCTCAGGTGTCCCGGAAACGATGCTGCCACATTCTGTCTTCAGCTTTGACAGTTGGCTCTTTCTGGCAGACAGATCTCTGGCAAAGACTTTGGAGCCTTGGTTCCGCTCGATCGCTTCTTCAATACGAACTGTATTGAAGTTGCGTAAGTCCCGCCGCATGCATTTGGAGATCTGTCTGTTCAGATGCCTGTATGCTGTCAAGTCTGTTGAAGAATGTAGCTTCATCTCCCGCCTAACAGCCATGAGATTAAGAGTGTGATCGGAGAGTTTTTGTGTTCTTCTGCGGCGGGTCTTGCAGAACTTAGCTCCAACCGCATGGACAGTTTCCACGAGCTTGTCATTCATATCGTCCACTTCATTGCAGTCTTCCAGGCACTGAAAACGGTTTTGTAACTCGAGCTGAAAGGTTTCGGGACTTTGGAACAGAGCACGAGGGGGACGGAGCGTTGACTTCATTAGACGAGACCTCTCCAACTTAACGTTTAGGTTCAGTGTGCCTCTAACCATTCGGTGATCGCTACCAGTTTTCACCCTCGCGATCACGGAGACATCACTGAACAGTTGTCGTCTGGTCGTCATAATGAAGTCAATCTCATTTTTTGTGGAACCGTCGGGGCTCGACCAGGTCCACTTCCTGTGGGGCCGCTTCTGGAAGAAAGAGTTCATCATAAAGAGTCCCTCTTTCTCCATGAAGTCGGCCAGCTGCTGGCCCCTTGGGTTCCGTTGCCCTATTCCAAATTTCCCTACTTTCAGCTCACCGTTCTCTCTTGTGCCTAGTTTTGCATTGAAGTCTCCCATTAACACCGTATATTGGGTTTTGGAGGAATGCATGGCTCTAGAGATATCCTCATACATTTCCTCCACCTCCTCATCGGGGTGTGCCGAGGTTGGTGCGTAAACCTGTATGACCTTCAGCGAATATCGTTTGGTGATTCTGAGTATAAGGTACGCAACCCTCGTCGACACACTCCCGATTTTTACAACGTTGTTAACGAGAGACTTGTGGACGATAAATCCGACACCTCCTTGGGACAGATGGTCGCCCTCCCGGTGATAGAGCAAGTTGCCGGATTCGAGGATTACCGTGTCCTCCCCCTCTCTTCGGACTTCGGATAATCCTATAATATGCCAGCGCAACTTGTCTATCTCTTCTTCCAGCTCCACGATCTTCTCGTCAGTCCTTAGGGTGCGTGCGTTGTACGTTGCCAGGTCGAGTCGTCTAAGGTGGCAACCGAACCTCCACCGGAGATTCTTAGCACCCCCTGCCCCGCCGTTACCATGGTCGCCACCGTAGCCAGGAATAGCGGGGCCGCCGGGGACTGGGGGCCGTTTTTTTGTTGCTCTCATCATTGGGGGGTATTTGCCATAGTTGCCACGCTTGGCGAGCGGGTTGGCAACCGCAGTTTTTTTATTGTAATTTGGCTATTATCAGGAAGATGCTGCTGCCCATCTCCTGGCTGTTTCCCTTTGTCGCCTTTTACGACACCCACGGGAGGATATGGGGTAGTGGATATTCTTGACCGCCACTACACGGCAAAAAAAAAATTGTTTGCAATAATGTGTATAAATTTGTTATTTTTTAAAGAAAATAGGTGACAAACGAGCATATAGTGTCTGGTGGTCAGTGGATGCAGGGGTTGTGTCTACATCTATCCTCTATTAAGAATCAAAATGCAGATGCATTGTCATCATTGAGGAGTAAGATGGAATGCCTAAACGATATCTGCTTGTGTCACTCACCATACGAAACAGCAGCATTAAGCTGTTAATTCATACTGGTCTTCAGTGAGGGCATGGTCTATCCCCAGTCAAACTGACCTATTCATGCTACAACTATAATATAGCTGCAGCGTGGCTCTATCATGTATCAATAAAGTAATATGTTAATAAACACAAATTTGAGTATGTATATTTTATTTGTGTTTGTAAAGTAAAAATATAGTAAATAGAATATATAAACAAGAATTTTAATTAATAAAAACCAAAACATCACAAATCTTGGAGATTCAACATCAATATGAAATTATCAAATAAGAAAAACAAAAAATATAGTGAATAGAATTTATAATCAAGAATTTTAATTAATAAAAACCAAAACATCACAAATCTTGGAGATTCAACATCAATATGACATTATCAAAGAAGAAAAACAAAAAATGTTACTGGATTTTGATATAGAGTTAAAGAAAATCTTTTACAAAATGCAAAAATGGACTATAAAATAAGCATTTTAATATTGTATGTCCACATTATAAATTAAAAGTCCATTTTTGCATTTTCTAAAAGATTCCTCTTTAAGTCAATATCAAGATCCAGTAATATTTTTGTTTTTTCTAATTTCATATGTTCATGTTGAAGTTGAATCTCCAATATTTCTAATCTTTTGGTTGTTATGGCATCTTCATTCATTTGCTTTTGGTTTTTTCTTTTTATTATTGAAGCACTGATGTTATTTATGTTCTTTTTTTTTTTTGTTTCAGTTAAACAAATCTTCTTTTTTGGTGTGCTTTCAACATCTTTCAGAAGAGGTGAAATTTTTCTTTTGCAACCTTCAACTTGTTGAGGACTTAAAAGGATTTCATGCACAGAATCTTCTTTTGCACCCAATACTATGCAGTTGTCTTCAGAAGAACCCTGTGTATTATTTAATAATTGTGTTTCAACAATATCTGTAATGAATAAATTGCAAAAATCAGTCACTATTGTGTAATATGTAATTTACGCTCATGATTGTACAAACAAGTTTGTAATTTAACTACAGCACTAGAAATTTTTGCATGGGTACTTAAACCACATTAAATAAATGATTATTTAATTATATTTTTTTTTCATTATCAATATTCTATTTCAGATGAAATTATTAGTGAGTTTGATTAAATTTTAACTAATTTTTCACTGCAAATTTACGTTAATACTTCAATTGCTCAGAGGTTATGTATAGCCCTATGCTGAAACAGTTGATATAAGAATTTAACCAAAACATCAGTTAAAAGCATGCTCAAAAATGCTAAATTCTGATGTAATATGATGTTAGAAAAACACTGAACTTACATACCTATGTTATAATATGGTGCTGACGAGTCAAAATCATTAGGCAATGATTTAAATTGTGGAGTTAACAATGCCACAACTTTCTCATCAACCGCAGTTGTCTTAGGACAAAATGTTCCACCTCCTGTCTTGTACATCTCAGACTGAAATAAAAAATTTACATTCTACATTACATACTTGTCTGATAACCACTGCGTAACTTTATATGGGAATCATTTGTTATTGTAAATACTCCAAGGCAATAACTGTGCCTATGAAGTAGGTTGTATAATATAATGATGTATATTATTAGTACCATGTGATCTTACAGCTTGTACAGTAAAGTTCCTTCGCACTTTGTACATTTAAAATGCTTATTCAAACACAAATAAGCAGGTTATGACCTACCTTATCATCGCTTAAATTTTTTCTAGCTTTTTTCTTTAAATTGTCGTACAATGCATGTAATTGCTTCTCAGTCCTAATTCCCGTTTCAGAGAGAGCATTATATTTGTTTGTAAGCGCCATCCAAGCTTGCTTCTTGGCCTCTAGAGTGGTCCCGTCCGTCGTTTTGTTATCTATTATAGCCACAAATTCTTTGGCTACTACAATAAGCAGCATCTTCTCTCTTTCAGAAAAATTTTTACTGCGTTTTCCAGATTCCATAATGTTTTGGATAATGCAAAAACGATAGTAAATACTACTAAACTTAAAATCAGAAAGTTATGAAAAATAAAACCACATTCGAAATAGGAAAAGCATTAAGTTTGATGCACAAACTATATAGAAACACTACGCGTTGTTTGATGCTATGATGTTTTCTTTTTTAACAATTTGACAATACAATGATGTCATTCATACAGTCTCTGATAAATATGGAATTATCATATTATATTACTGAAACAGTGAATATCCTCTTATTTAGCCTCAAAAAATATATTTTATAAATAATACTAGTATAAATTAAGAATTGAAATTAAAAAATCAATTTTAAACTCGATGTCTTAAACAGACCCATCTAGCGGCAAATTATGGTACTTGTTAATGGTTACATAGTTGTTGAACGATTCGTTGCGTATTCAGAAACGCAGTGACAGTTAACCGACCTTTATCCTATAGATAACTTTATTGAATCCATAGCTAATGGGAAGATAACTAGGAACTTCAGAAACCGGGCATAAGTCGCGAGTAATACATTTGAATCCCAGTTGACACAAAATTTATTGGTGAGTAGAGAAAAGTAAATAATTGTAATTTGCTCACAAGCGGGACTTCTTTATTGATTTGGAGTCTCTCTGGGATCTTTTGGGGAGGGAAAAAAGTACTGAACTCGCGTGACCGTCACGCTGAGAAAGGATACAATTGTTGAAAGTAATGTTGAAAATGCAATTGATTTAATTTTATAAAATTGATAAGTTTTTATTATGGAAATAAATAATTGTCATTTTATTTCGTGTAAAAACAACGCAATAGATGAAATTTTTATAACTATAACAATACTTTGATAAAAATATGAATATACTTTTGAATGAATGAATATACTTTTATTGTACACCACGAACAAATATACAAATGTCATAACAAAAATCAGATTATAATATGTACAATTTGGCGGCCTTATCGCTACATAGCGATCTCTTCCAGGCAACCAAAGGTGTAAAGTAATCATCATTCATCATCATTACAGCCCTTCACAAGTCCACTGCTGAACATAGGCCTCCCCCAAAGAATGCCACAAAGCACGGTCCTGAGCCACCTGCATCCATCGACTTCCTGCATGTCTTACCAGGTCGTCACTCCATCTCGTGGGGGGACGCCCTACACTTCGCCTACCGGTACGAGGCTGCCTCTCGAGAACCTTTCTTCCCCATCGGTTGTCGGTTCTTCGAGCTATATGGCCGGCCCATTGCCACTTCAGCTTACTAATCCGTTGGGTTATGTCGGTTACTCTGGTTCTACTGCGGATATCCTCATTCCTAAGTTTATCACGCAGAGAAACTCCGAGCATAGCCCTCTCCATAGCTCGCTGAGCGACCTTGAGCTTCCTCATACGGCCAGCAGTGAAGGACCACGTCTCAGTTCCGTAAGTCATCACTGGCAACACGCACTGGTTGTACAATTTCGTTTTAAGGTTTTGAGGTATGTCTGACGAGAAGATGTGTCGTAGCTTCCCGAACGCTGCCCAGCCGAGTTGAATCCGTCGATTGACCTCTCGGTCCAAGTTGGACTTACCTAGTCGGACTATTTGTCCCAGGTAAACATACTCGTCAACAACTTCGAGCTTAGTGCTCCCAACAACTACAGGCATAGGTGTGACATGGACATTAAACATGATCTTTGTTTTGTCCATGTTCATCTTAAGACCTATCCGTTGGGAAACACTATTGAGGTCATTGAGCATAGTGCTTAGGTCCTCCAGCGATTCTGCCATAAGGACTATATCGTCGGCAAATCGAAGGTGAGTGATGTACTCGCCATTGATGTTGATACCGTATCCTTTCCAGTCCAGAAGCTTGAAAACGTCTTCCAATGCAGCGGTGAAGAGTTTCGGGGATATGACGTCACCCTGTCTTACACCTCTCTGCAATTGGATAGGTTTCGTACTCTGGTTCTGTACTCGGATAGCCATCGTAGCCCTACTGTACAAGCACTTCAACACTTCGATATACGGACAGTCAACTTGGCACCGCTGAAGGGACTGCAGCACCGCCCAAATTTCGACGGAATCAAAGGCTTTCTCATAGTCCACATACGCCAGACATAGTGGCAAATTGTACTCTTCGGACTTCTGTACAATTTGCCGAAGGGTATGTATGTGGTCTATGGTGCTAAAGCCCTTTCGGAAACCGGCTTGTTCGGGAGGCTGGAAGTCGTCAAGTCTGCGCGCGAGACGATTCGTAATGACTCTCGAAAACAGCACGTAGACGCGGCTCAGAAGGGAAATCGGTCTGTAGTTCTTCAAGAGAGCGTTGTCACCTTTCTTGAAGAACAAGACCACCGCACTTCTGCTCCACGCCTCCGGTGTAATGCCACCATGGAGAACGGAATTAAAGAGCTTCTGAAGGACTTCAATTACCGGTCTTCCACCCGCTTTCAGAAGCTCCGCTGTAATTCCATCCTCGCCTGGGGCCTTACCATTTTTAAGGTGCTGGAGAGCCATTCTAATCTCGCTCAGACTGACGTCCGGGATATCTTCGGAATAGTGTCGGATGAGACTCGCTCTTGGATCGTTACTCACACTTGCGTGTGGCTCCAACGATGATGTGTACAGCTGCCCATAGAACCTCTCAATCTCACTCAAAATCTCAGGTGTCCCAGAAACGATGCTGCCACATTCTGTCTTCAGCTTTGACAGTTGGCTCTTTCTGGCAGACAGATCTCTGGCAAAGACTTTGGAGCCTTGATTCCGCTCGATCGCTTCTTCAATACGAGCTGTATTGAAGTTGCGTAAGTCCCGCCGCATGCATTTGGAGATCTGTCTGTTCAGATGCCTGTATGCTGTCAAGTCTGTTGAAGAATGTAGCTTCATCTCCCGTCTAACAGCCATGAGATTAAGAGTGTGATCGGAGAGTTTTTGTGTTCTTCTGCGTCGGGTCTTGCAGAACTTAGCTCCGACCGCATGGACAGTTTCCACGAGCTTGTCATTCATATCGTCCACTTCATTGCAGTCTTCCAGGCACTGAAAACGGTTTTGTAACTCGAGCTGAAAGGTTTCGGGACTTTGAAACAGAGCACGAGGGGGACGGAGCGTTGACTTCATTAGACGAGACCTCTCCAACTTAACGTTTAGGTTCAGTGTGCCTCTAACCATTCGGTGATCGCTACCAGTTTTCACCCTCGCGATCACGGAGACATCAATGAACAGTTGTCGTCTGGTTGTCATAATGAAGTCAATCTCATTTTTTGTCGAACCGTCGGGGCTCGACCAGGTCCACTTCCTGTGGGGCCGCTTCTGGAAGAAAGAGTTCATCATAAAGAGTCCCTCTTTCTCCATGAAGTCGGCCAGCTGCTGGCTCCTTGGGTTCCGTTGCCCTATTCCAAATTTCCCTACTTTCAGCTCGCCGTTCTCTTTTGTGCCTAGTTTTGCATTGAGTGTAAAGTAATACAAACAATGAATAGGTAGGTGGTAGGTGGTGCAATATAAATATACAAATAATAAATGCAAAAAAAAGATATAAATAACTAAGTAATACATGAAATAATATAAATTACTAACACATAATAAAAGATAAGGTAACACATATAATATATACATATACATACACATATACACATATTCATACATATATACATATACATACATATACACACAACACATATATATATATCAATATAGAATTAGAATAAGGTTCATTATAGTCATATTCCTAGTAATGTAATCACCTGGTTAAGGAAGTCTGTATTCTACTGAATTAGTTATAATTAATTACTGTAATGAAATAGCGATATGTCATCGAGACATATTTAGTTTTTTTTAATTAGCTCTGCTCCCGAAAATTAACTGCGTACACAATTATTTGTAGACTAAACGAATGTTTTGAAAATAATTCGGATTAAACTTTCGGCGAGGCAATCCATCTTGTTACGTATTGTTTGGACTGGTCCTAATGAGGCGTGGTTCGACTTTAATCCCTCAGCCGGCAATCAAGGGCTTTTTGTTGTTACAGAAAAGGTATATAAAAATATTGCGCCGTTCCCAATTGTAACAAATGTCGCTTTGAACAAGGGATGAAAGTGATCCGTTGGAACAATACAGTATAACCGTTCCCATTGCCCAAAAACCTTTCAGTTATATAAATACTAATAACTATGCTCCGCGGTTTTACCCGGGTAAAATTTAGGAAGAAGATTGATTGATTCAGATACAGACTTCAGTATAGACAATGTTTTTAGTTACATTTTTTTCCCAGTCCCGTATGTATAATTTAATAACATTTCGATTGTTTAACTATTTTGTCTATTTTGCGGACAGGGAAACTGTTAAAATATATTGGTTCTCTCGGTTCTTATTGGGCGGCTAGGGTTATGCGTCATTCGCGCGCCGAGCCGAGTGTTGAATTATTTTAATTTATCATCATCTCTTAAATTATGCGTTCAAATAACATACTATAAGAAGCAAAATTTTTCTTCATCAAATTGTATTGATGATGAAGTAACTTTCAACTGTAAGGATAAATATGCCACGCCTAATAATAACGCTCATAAATCAATTTTCAATTTTCAACATTTTTGTCACAAAATACCTTATTGTGGCTTATGTATGAGAAAAAGGCATGTGGTATTGCGGAGTTTTTAATATTTAAAGCTAGCTGAGCTGTAACCTAATGCTAGATGGCTTATACTGTTTCGCATGAGTTTAGCTATCATATACATTTTCCTTAAAAACTGAGTAGTAGTTCCAGTGATTAGAGTGTTTATAAAAACAAAAAAAAACTTTCAGCTTTATTATATTATATTAGTATTTGTGGCATTCCGTGGGGTAGGCCTATGTTCAGCATTTAACACTTGAAGGGCTGTAATGATGATGTTGATGATAGTATAGAATACCGTGAGGAGACAGTGGAACAAATTCGACCGTTTTTTTTTTTCTTGGATAAGGTGACAAACGAGCACACAGTCCACCTGATGTTAAGTGGTTGCTGTGACCCATAGACATCTACATTTAT